GTTGCAAAGATTCGCTGTATTCACCCTATTTCGTTTAAGGTGATGAAGGACAGGTACTTGAATTTTCCCACAGTGATATGAGTAGGCATTATGTTTCTATTGAATTCCACATCGTCTTGCTTCCCAAAAGGTGTCCTCATCCAGGGCGGACTGCAGTTTCAACCTTGCCTAGGTCCCGTTTCCACCCCTAGCGGGACTCGAACCCAGATTATAGTATTGCTGCGTATAGTTTCGGCACAGTACCCACCGCATCAGACTGCCACAAGGGCTCCTGAATTAAATAACAGAGGTTAGGCAGATGGGCTAGGCATTTCCCATATAACATTTTTTCGCGGGATTTACCCATTTATACTTGCTATTACAATCGATTACGCTACTTATTCAATGAAAATATGAGGATAACTCATATCATAGCGGAAAATTTTACTCATAGTCCTTCCTCACCTTAAACGAAAGAAGACAAATACAGTTCTTAACTCATTGCTACTGGCAGATTTGAATGCCTAAAAATTCGCGGGTTTGCCAATAGGTACGAACTGTAGCTGAGTTTCAATGAGTCTGTTAATATAACGGTGTTGTGTTGACATGCGTGAATAAACATGGGTTGATGTGTATGCCGATCTCACAAGAAGACAATGGCAGATTTCCTTTGCTACGGCATACTTACTGACGGAATTCACAGAACCTCTACCCTCGGCTAGGATGAAGACGTGGCGAGCCTTCGTCTGTCATAACAAATGACCAAAATCTTCAGAGTTGCACCTTATTCCCTTACAAACGTCAGGATAATATTCAGGCAAACGAACTAGCCGGTCCTATCTTGCATTTGGTATATAGTCACGATAACTAACAATAATTGGCTATTAAAAATATATGTGTATATCAACAGATATAGGACAGCTTGGTTAGTTCTGTTTTTATGTCAGTCAAAGTATTAGTAGGCTTGAGTGCACGTGAATGGGTGTGTGCACAAATAGGTTAGGGGACGAAAAACATCAGTGATAACTTTGGGAAATAGTTTTTAATGTCAGATATATAGGACCAACATAAATGTGGTTTATACCATCTCTAAGTAGACCAATTGAGCCGCCTTCTTTTGTAGGGAATTCAACATTAGCTGTCTCCTTAAATCTATCATTCAAACATTATAAGTTCTTGTTAAACTTCCTGCCCCAATTCATTGCACGCTGCAAATTTCCTTTTCTGTTAATTTCAATAGTTTCCTCTATCTTGTGTAGGGCAATCGACTTACCATAATCAGTAAACCTAAGCGTTTCTATATTTTATTATGAAAATATTTAACATTTAAGTTAGAAACAATAAGCCTTTTTGAATCAATGTTTGCTTGAATTTATATTTTGAGTAGGATACAGCCTTGATGATATCTGTCAAATAACATTGCAGACAATAACCCACATCATTTTCATTGGAGTCAAAGGAGAGTTTATCGTGGCCTAGTTCAACCTGAATATTATGATAAAATCATACTACTATAGAGCCATAGAAAGCAGACTTTGTCTTCTTGTGAGATCGACCGATGGAATTCTTTATCATAAACTATAACATATAATGAAGTTATCAGAAATAACTTTGTATGTCACATTTATTCTATTCATTTCTGTCCTGGTTCAGTTGGTTTCTTTGAGTAAACTGTGCAATAAGTTTAGGTTCGTGATCATGCTGAGAGGAATACCACTTAATTATATCAAAGTAGTTGGAATTCACAAACGTACACAAATACACGTCATTTTATTTTACTACCTTAGACATAATTAACTTACATTAAGTCATAACCTTAAATATAAGTTATATTTCTATGAAATTCGGATTTGCCATTCATTCCACTTTCATTTTTTAAAAATGCCAGGATGGTTTCTATACAGCAATTTGATATAGTAATTTGCTTAGCAGGACCCACTAATTTGACTAAATTACTGAATAAAAAATAAATATCGCTGCTTACTCATTTATCAGTCCATTTTTACTCAACAAGAGCTATCTTGATGCAATGGAGATTAGTTGTCATAAATAGTTGATTGCCTTAAGACATTTTGCCGAAGGTAGTTCACTCAGTACACAGTTAACAATTTCATATTAGTTATAAAGTTAACCCATTATTCAAGGGGAACTTCCCTTTCGATACTTGAAATTTCGAAACATAGGTTTCAGAACCTGATATTTTAGGGAGCCTCTTTTAATTACTCATCGTTGGACTCCAAGTAACTCCGACCCAAACTTGGCCTCGATAATCATTATTGCTGGTTTTCTGAGGCAATCGAGCCCCTTTAGGCATAGGTAAGCAAAATCTTATCATGCTAGTTGCAGTATTATTGTTTTCCCTAAGTATGATAAAAATACTTTTCCTTATGTTAACCTTCTAAAAATTTACCTTAAATCATGGCATCAACTTTGCAAAACGGTCAGATTATTTCACTAATTTGTATCATTACTAAATTATTTTGGTTTTTGCTTATTAAAGCAAAAATGTGGTTGCAGTAAGTGACCATGCATTCTAGATACTAAAATCAAGGAGCTATTTAATTATTTGATTTTGTAGTAATCTTTTGTCGACACATTATGCTGGTCGTCAAGGTAAAGGTTTTGGTATGAAAGGTTTGCAGGTACGAGGCTGGAACCTTGGTCGTAGCGAGTATAATAGGCTTATACCTTATGTCTAACAGGATGACAGATTCATCTAATTCATTCTCCCGTGGTTAATGAAATTTCAGTAAAAATCACAATATGTTGGAGTATCTTTCATTTCGTTTGAAGAGGCGAGTGGAAGGGATTTGTAAGTTGGTTCCACCGGAGCCTGTGGGGAGGTTGCCTTAGAGCTGTGGTTGTAGATGTGTACGAATAGGTCCTTGGCACACCATCCTGCGACCCCGAGAAATCCTTGCTGAGATTCTGTCCGCATGTGACGCAAATTCTCAGAGCAGGACACCATGCTTAATGATAATTCACCAAAAACACGAAGGCAAGAAAAGTGGCCGTCTTCAAACCTACTTCCTTTTTATATACTCCAATTTGGTCCACTTATGCATCTTATGTTTTGGTTGGATGTCCTGCTCTGACGATGCCCGTCACATGACGGAGGAAAGCTCAGGAAAGATTCGTCGGGGTCGCAGGACATTGCGCCAAGAACCTATTTGCACAAATATACAACCATAGCTCTAAGACAACCCCCCACAGCCTCCGATGAAACCAACTTACGAATCCCTTCCACTTGCCTCTTCAAATAAAATAAAAGGTGCTCCAACACCAATCTATTAAGGGATTCTTCGAAACCAAGTTTTTCTACATTTACAGTTATGTCTCCGATCTAAAACAAATTGCGTTTTCTAAAAGAACTCGTTAATGAGGAAGATTTGTTTCTGTGCATTTAACTTTATTCTAGAGACTACAAACAGGTTTTCTAGTAAACTTCACTTGATAAGGGCTATACATGCATGTGCTCATGTTCATAATGGTCTAAAAGGGATGACTACTCTTACTTATTACTACAACCTCCTCATAAAGCAAATTCCCAAATCTCAACAGCTACATAAATGTCTGACTCTAAGGTAACCGGCACGTGTTTGCAAAATAAACACTTATCATACCATAAGGGCACATTACTACTTAGTAATTGAAAGGTGAATGCCGCATTGGAGTCAAGCTAAGGATGAGAAATTTAGCCTAACGGTCGTGTCCTATCCAAAGATTGTCAGATTAACAATTTCTATTTGATAAAAGCGGTCTTCTTAGCATATTTCTAATTAAC